AAATCGACCTGCCGAACTTATAGCTTTTTTACTTGTGTTTCTCTTTTAACAATTAATATTATTATTTTTATTTCCCAATTAATTGATTAGTTCCTAACATTCTATTTAATATCCCGAACTAATAGCCCACTTAATCACTCTACTTATTTAATTAAGATGTCTGGTAGCTAAATATTGCCACCGCATCCGCACATACATATGTTATTATTCACTTTCGTTTAATTCCTCTCACATGACTGAATGTAATTTTAATTATAACCGTTTTTTTGTTTTGGTTTTTTATTTTTATTTCCGTTTTTAACTAGGCACTTTAAATGCGGGATAACGGCTAACGTAATAGACATTAACGTTAATTTTTGTAATAAAACCAAACATCTCTAATCATCGGCTTAGGTCATTTAACTAGATTTTTAATGGACAATTTATCAAATCAAATGTGAAACGATAACAGGACTTTATGAAGCTAAAATTGGATATTTATTTCGGATTAATGCAATTATTTTGTTAAAAAAGATTTGAAATAACAAAAGTGTTATAAAGGGCAGATTTACGTCAAATCTGCCACTAAATTACATACATGTTATAGAAATATTATAGGAAAATATATAAATGATTAGATTATAATTATGGGTTGGTGGTAATGGAGGCCTTCGAGGTTTATGAAACCCCTAAGAAAGTGAATGAGATCACAACAATGTATTAGAAAAACACTTTGTAATAATTACAAGTACTTTAGCGGATTTTCTAATTATCATTATTATTATTTATTATAGATAATTACTATCTAGCAATGAAACTATTAGCTAATGCAGACAAAGTGTAAAAGAACATGTAAAAACATTCGATTCGGACGGGCCAAACTTTTAATACCCTCCACCTCAGGGTAAAGGAAACATTTTTTTTATAAAAGTTTCGAAGGTGTTCCACTTTGAACTACAAATACCAGTAAGACCATTTGGATAATGCTGCTAAATTTTCCAAAAAAAAAACCATAAAATGGGTTAAGCCCATATATGGGGGCTATACCGAAACGGAAACCTACATATCAATTTTAATACTTCAACTTTATACTTCAAGGATTGTCATCTATCAAATCTTCAAAAAATACCAAATTTGAAACAATTTCGTGGGTAAATGTGACTAGGATTATCAAAATACCAAATATTTGGTGGGTATCGATATATGTGCGCTATAGGAAAACGTGGACCTAAATATTCAAAGTTCTGTCACCGGAGCTAGAACCCATTATGAACCACAAATACCAATTTTTAAAGCAAATCCGTGAAAAAATGTGGAAAACTCATTAAAATACCTGAGATTTATATAAAAACGTAGACCTATACATAAAATGTTCCGCCGCCGGAGCCAGAACCCATTATGACCTACACATACCAATTTTTAAACAAATCCGTGAAAAAATTTGTCAAAATTGATCAAAACATCGAATTTCGGAAGATGACGTTATATGAGGGCTATAACAAAATGTGGAGCCATACATACTATGATCCGACACCAGATCTAGAACTAATTTCGTACTACAAATACCAATTTTTAGATAAATCCGTGAAAAAATGTGGGAAAAATTATCAAAACACCGAATCTCGGAAGGTACCATTATATGGGGGCTATAACAAAACGTTGACACATATATACTATGATCCGCCACAGGATATAGAACATATTACGAACTACAAACACCAATTTTCAGACAAATCTGAGGAAAAATGTGACACAAATCATCAAAATACCGAATTTAGAGAGGTACCGTTATATGGGGGCTATACAAAATCGTGGACCTATACATAAAATTTTTTGCCACACGAGCTCGAACCTATTATGACCCACAAATACCAATTTTTAGACAAATCCGTGAAAAAATGTGGCAAAAAAGATCAAAATACCGAATTTGGGAAGGTTCCGTTATATGAGGCCTATGACAAAAAATCCGTGGGAAAATGTGGCAAAGATCATCAAAATACCGAATATCGGAAGGTACCTTAGGGTTATATAAAATCGTGGATCTATACCTAAAAAGCTTCGCCACCGGAGCTAGAACCCATTATGGTCTACAAATACTAATTTTTAGACAAATCCGTTTAAAAATATGGCAAAAATGATCAAAATATCGAATTTCGGAAGGTACCGTTGTATATAGGATATAACAAAACTTGGATCCATATATACTATGATCCTCCACCGGATTTAGAACTCATATCGAACTTCAAATACCAATTTTTAGACAAATCCGTGAAAAAATGTAGCAAAAATTATAGAAATACCGAATATCGGAAGGTACCGTTGGCTGTAACAAAAAGTTGACCCATATATACTACTATCCGCCATCGGATTTAGTACTCATTTCGAACTTCAAATATCAATTTTTAGATAAATCCGTGAAAAAATGTGACAAAAATTATAGAAATACCGAATATTGGAAGGTATCGTTATATGGGGGCTGTAACAAAAAGTTGACCCATATATACAATGATCCACCACCGGATCTAGAACTAGTTTCGAACTTCAAATACCATTTTTTAGATAAATCCGAGGAAAAATGTGGCAAAATCATCAAAATACCGAATATCGAGAGGTACCTTTATATGGGGGCTATACAAAATCGGGGACCTATACATAAAATTTTTTTGCCACACGAGCTCGAACCTGTTATGACCCACAAATACCAATTTTTAGACAAATCCGTGAAAAAAATGTGCCAAAAATGATAAAAATTCCGAATTTTGGAAGGTACCGTTTTATGAGGCCTATGACAAAACTTGGAACCAAATATACTATGATCCACCACCGGATCTAGAACTATTTTCGTACTACAAATACCAATTTTTAGATAAATTCGTGGGAAATGTGGCAAAAATTGTCAAAGTGCCGAATATCGGTAGGTACCCATATATGGGGTTATACAAAATCGTGGACCTATAACTAAAATGCTTCTTCACCGGAGCTAAAATCCCATTATGACCTACAAGTACCAATTTTTAGACAAATCCGTGAAAAAAATGTGGCAAAAATCATCGAAATACCGAATATCGAGAGGTACCGTTATAAGGGGGCTATACGAAGACGTGGACCTATACATGCAATGTTTCGCCACACGAGCTAGAGCCCAGTATGACCTACAAATACCTATTTTCTCCAATAGAAGACCCTTTGGGCTCTTCTATAGCATAGAATACCCCCTGAGGACTTCTTGGGCTCTTCCATTGAGGTCTTCTATGGGGTAGAAGACCTGCCATGGTATAGAAGAGGCCTTAAGTTTTTCTATTGGATAGAAGACCCACCTGATTTATAAAATAGAAGACCAACAGAGGTCTTCTAGAGCATGGAAGATCCCTTGGGATCTTCTATAACATAAAAGACCCCCTGAAGTCTTTTATAGCATAGAAGACCCCTTGGGCTCTTCTGTATCATAATAGCGGTCTTCAATAGCATAGAAAACTTCTTGAGGTCTTATATATCATAATATACCACCTGAAGCCTTCTATAGCATAGAAGACCCCTTGGGCTCTTCTATATAATAGATGGCCCCGTGAGGTTTTCTACATATAGCATAAAAGACCAATTTAGGTCTTTTAGTAGACACCTTGCAGTCTTCTTCATAGAATACCCCCTGAGACCTTCTATTGCATGGAAGACCCCCCGAGGCCTTCTATAGGAGAAAAGACCCCCTATATGTCATCTATAGGTTAGAAGACCCCCGAGGTCTTCTATACAATAGAAAACCCCTTGAGGTCTTCTATAGCAAAGGATACCCCTTGAGGTCTTCTATAGCATAGAAGACCCCTTGAGGTCTTCTGTTAGATAGAAGAGCCCCTTGAGGTCTTCTATATGATAGAAGAGCCCCTTGAGGTCTTCTATATGATAGAAGACCTCTTAAGACTCTCCTTAGTATAGAAGACCTCTTGAGGTCTTGGATATTGTAGAAGATCCCCTTGAGGTCGTCTATTGCTAGAAGACCCTCTTGAGGTCGTCTATAGCTAGAAAAACTTTTAAGGGCTTCTATAGCTAGAAGACCCCTTAAGGGCTTCTATGGGAGAGAATATCCCTTGAGGTCTTCTATAGCATTGAAGAACCCGTGAAGGTTTTCTTCTATGGCATAGAAGGCTCCATTAGGTCTTCTATAGGAGAGAATATCCCCTGAGGTCTTCTATAGCATAGAAAACCCTTGAGGTCTTCTTGAGGAGACCCACCTAGGGTCTTCTTTAGGATAGAAGACCCCCGTAAGGGTTTCTATAGCATAGAAGGTCCCCTTGAAGTCTTCTATAGCATGGAAGACCGTTTGAGATTTTCTATAGCTTAGAAGACCCCGTGAGGTACGTTTTTCCACTTCTCCCTATTAAATGTTAACTTTCACCCAATGAACTTGAACTTGCGGCGACCCCATTTTTTATGTCTCTTTTAAATTTCTTGCATTGCTTGATGGACCTCGTTGTGCTTTAAGTTTTTTTTATTATTGTTGTCGTTGTTGTTGTTGGTTTTTTGAACGCAAAAGGTAAACACAATTTCGTTAATATCGCTACCATTGAATTTTTTTTTGGTATCGAACTGTGGTGATGGCTTTTGACTTTGTAAACTTGGCTTGGCATCAAACTAAGCCAGCGCACGTGCGCAGACGGCAGCGACGCAGTTGCCGAACATTGTTGTTGGCTCCTACAACAAGCTGGTACATTGGGCTGCCAATGTGTGAGTGAGAACAGCTGCTCTGCCACCAATGTGTGTTGTTGCTGCTGTTGATGTTACCACTGAAAAGGTTGGCTATGACGACAGGTTAATCAAAGCTTGTTGTTGGCCGAGAGTGGCCCCCAATGTTGTTGCTGTTGTTGTTGTTTGTATCCCCCGAAAGTCAAAAACTACAACTATGTGGGGAGACTCGCATGCATGAGAGAGTGTGTATGTGTGTGTGTGCATGCGTGTGTGTCTGTGTCTAGTTACGTTTTTTTTTAAACCTACGCTCTTACAATGTTTTTGCACGATCGTTATGAGTTGAGTCTGCTTTTAACAGCCCAACAGGAAGGTTCTGAACGTCCGTTAAGAAATACGGTGTGAAATTTGTGTTTTATTTTACCCAACCAGAAAAAAAATCGAAAACGAAAGCTTTTTTGAAAAATTTGAAAAAAAAAAACGAAAAGAATTTCCAAACATTTGTTTTAAAATCAAAAAAATATTTACAACGCGTTACAGAGATTTTCTGCGTGCGTATTAGTTTTTTTGTTGTTTTCCCCCCATTTGGAGTGCAAGTTTGTGTAACGGTCGTCATAACCTATAACCACAACTATTTTTTTTTTTATTTTTTTTGGAAAAAATTTGTTAATTCATTCAAAAAAAAGTTCGAGTTGTTTCTTTTGACGGTTATTTGCTCAATCTGTTAATACCATCCGACCCAAAAAAAAAATAAAATTTTCAACATCATCGAAATCGATACCAGCAGCAACAGTCGGTCGGTCGGTCGCAACATCATTAAAATTTCGAATGAAATCAATTGATCAGCGCAACACTACAGAGTGGATAAACATACATACCTACATACAAACACACGTAAAAAATTTACAAAAATAAAAACAAAAATCATCATCACCAGAAAAAAAAACATACTTCGATTTGCTTGTCAATAATTGAAAAAAATAATCCAATTATAGTGTGATTTTTTTTTATTCGTTCAAATTATTTATTTTTTTGTGGTAAAAAATAAACAAAACGCCCCAAAATATCAATCAGAAGTACAAATTCTTACGACATCTGAAGTGAATTAATTGGTGATACCCCGATACGTTTTTTTGCTGTTGTTTTGTTTTGCTGCCATTGTGGAAAAATTATTGAACGCGGATTGCAAAGGATTAACTTTGTGTGCAAAGAAAAGAACAAGGAAACGGAGATTTTTGAAGGTAATTTGCTTGGAAAAATAATTATTGAAAATTTAAGTCAATTTGTTGACATTTGATATATCCGGAAGTTCCCATGGGGAATCTGGAAATAGTTGAAGGTCGAGTTTTTTTGCGATTTTTTGTGGGATAAATCCGAATTGAAGGTCATATTTACAATCAATATTGGTCTTTTAGTTTCAGTTGTATTTGGTCATACCAGGGTTGACCACAATGAGAGCAGGCGAAAATGTGCCTCTTATAGGTTTTCTCTTGAGAGAAGACATTTTGCAAAACGTTTTTAGGCCTTCAAATACATAGGAATTTTAGAAATCTGCTGCTGAATAAACACCTTTTCGAGGTCTTCCATAATTAATTTATAATTTTGAGTCTTTCGTGGATAGCAGGATTTGCAGAAAGGGAAAAAAAGGGAATATTTTAGGGACCAAGGAAGATATATGGTAGATATTTAAACATTTGTTCTGATTTGCTTTTATCGTGAATTTATAAAGGAATATTTCTGAGGGACCATCAAAGAGTTAATAGTGGATTTTTTTGGGATAATGGTATTTTTTTTCTGGAGGACTTAATTTTTAAAACGTGCTTTATCAAAATATCGGTTTTAGACCCTAGAGAAAATGAAAAGGATAATCCGATTTTGCTCCATCTTCACAAATCCTAATATTTGCATCAGTGCTAGGTCAGGTGCGAAAATGGACAATTCGAAATTGAGATACTTCGATATCAGCTTCTTTTTTTTTGATTCGGATACATGCTGTAAAAATGTTATTTTTTGTTTCTTCCAACATTAATCCAATATACCGCGATTTAAAAATTGATTAGCCGATTTGTAAAAAAAATTTAAAATTTGATAGGAAATATATCGAATATGGTGGAACCAACACCTTAGATTGAAATATTAGATTTTTTTTTTTTTTTTGAAAAAAAAAAACACTTCATTTTTGTCAAGCTGATGAAAAAATGTTTGCATACCAAACTATTCGCTTGGTAATTTTATAGGAAAATATAAAAAAAAACCTTGACAATCCCTGAAACAATCTTATAATTTGTTATTATTTACCAAATACCTTTTTCTAAAAAGTGAAAAAAAAAATCCAAAACAAAACTAATGTTTAAAACGAAGTAATTTTTTAGATGTTATCCTTAAAAAATAAATAAAAAAAATTGCTAAATTCGACCGGGTTGAACTTTAAATACCCTCCACCATTTGGAAATAAATTTCCAAAATATAAAAAGAAACGTTTGAAAAATCTCGCTGTAATTTTAAAAATTCCGAATATAAGGCGTTACAGTTATATGGGCTATACAAAAACGTGGAACTTTGCAGCCAATTATCTACCAGAGGACTATACGTTTGAGCTAATTCTGCTGAAAATGTAGTAGTAATCATCATCATCATAAAAAAACATTTAGTAGTACCAATTAAAATCTCCAAATACCAAATTTCTAACAATTTCGTTAAGAGTATAAAATAAATAATCAAAATACTAAATATTTTTTTATGGGGACTATACCAAAAGTTGAACATATATGGAAAGTTCTATCCAAGTATATTTTCTATACACAAATTGTGACTAAAACCACCAAAAGACATTAAATCTTGAGGTACCCTTATATGGGAGCTATACCAAATCCTGAACCCATTTCCAAAACCGCTTGTCCTGCAGTCATAAAATACATCAAAGTAATTATACCCTACACTACATAGTGGTAAGGGTGATATGTCTTTAGGCATGGAGAAGGAAGCGAGATAGACACATAGTTACTTTCGAGGATCTTCATAGAATAACTTTCTGAGTCGATGTCAGGCATGTCAGTCAGTCCGTCAGTCTGTCCATGTATTCTTCTGAAGAAAATGCAGGTCGCATTTGTTATCTGATTGAGATGAAATTTTCCAAACAATATTTGTTTGGCCCAAGGACGAACCCTATTGATTGGTGAGACTCGGTTCAAATTTAGATGTAGCTCCCATATGTACCTTCAACCGATTTCGTGTTAATTGTGAACGAACTGGCCAATATCAGTCCAAATGACTTGCATTTTGGCACATCCGAGCTAATTTAGTCTAGAAGCCAGTATATCAACTCTGAAAATCAGTTCAGATATAGCTATAGCTCTCATATATATGTTTCATCCGATTTGGTCTTTAAGTCCCTCACATTCGTAATATGCATTTGACAACAATGATATTTGGTACCAGATACCTTATAGAGCGGAAATACACTTGCCAAACTTTATCGAGATCGGCTAAGATTTGGATATAGCTCCCATGTATATCCTTAATCCGATTTCATTTCAAATGGAGTGAATTTCGGGACCTACGTTTCCGTTTAGTGAACTCGACATCGATATATATTTTTTTAAAATAATCCCAAGAAGTGATACTCTGTAGCAATATTATTTGGTATAAAAGATTAAAATGTCTGCGTCAAATTTAGTGAAAAACGATTCAGAATTGGATATGCCTCCCTGCATTAGTTTCCCCTTAAACCAAACTTTAACTGCTCTAAACCCATTAATCCTTAAGGTTCTATAATACCTCCTAAATTCTTAAGAAATCTACGATATATATATTTTTTTACATTGGATCTACATACATGCGTATTTTTTCTCCGTTTGAGTTTTGAAATCAGTATCCTATATATTTACACTCTTTCTCCAATAGATAAAAAAAACCATTTCATTGGCCGCTAGAAAAACCATTTTATAGGCGTTCTTCCATTAGTAAAAAGCATTTTACAAATTTTCTAGGATTTGTTTTTCATTATTTAAATATGCCAGGAGTTTTGGAGACGTTCTTCCATATGTAAATTAATGACTTCAAAGAACTCTGCTTTAGACAGAAGATGACTTCTATTGACAGAAGCAAAGGTTATGTTTAAGTTTTGCTGTTTTAAAACATTCAATTGAAAATAACTTTTTTTATTATTACAAAAAAAATATTGGAACTCGATAGGAAATATATGAAACCTAATGTAACCAGAATTGAAATATTCTGAAGAACATATAATTTTTTATATCAAATATCAATTCCAATTTTTGTAGGGAAATCTTGAAAAACATTGGAAGTTTCAAAAAATTTCAATTAATTTTTTAATTTTAATTTTTAAATGTATTTTTTTTAATTTTTTTTTGTAAAAAAATGTATTTATCCCCAAATACCTATAGCAACAAAATTTGATGCTATTTCCGACATTTTTTTCTTTCATTCAATAAAATAAAAACAATATGTAAAAATATGGCGTTTGACTTTGTTGCAGTTTTTTTTAATCTCACCCTATATATTGAGTTTATGAAGCAATTAAATACATAAATCATGTTTGATCTTGCATAAAAATTAAGCACCAGATGTTGGTGACCTTTGACCCCTTTGCAAACAATTGTCTATGTAGTTATATTTCAATTTGTGTTATAGTTTTCAGAATTCGTGAACTCAAATTTCAATCGATAGCTTAAAATGGGCTTTGTTTCGAAACTCAATTTTTTGAGATGTCCCACCCTTTTAAATTTGGTTAATTGCATTTCCAAAGATTAAAAATTAATCACAAATATACTAATACAACTGAACTCCTCATTTCAGTTATTTTTAAAATAGTTGGGAATTATGGAATTTCAAAATCATGGCGAGTAAAAACGTACGTTTAAAATATTGGAAATATGAAAATTTTCTTCCACGATTTTGTAACCCACAAGAATAGAATCTCCTTCAAATCCTTTTTGTGGTCAGTCTTTCCATATATTTTTATGAAAAAAGTTTGGGTCGCATTTCTTGTAGAATTCAAATTTAATTCGTAACTTTTGAATGAAATGAATTTTTAATTGTAGTACGAAATTCGACATTATTTACATTGAAATATAAATTCACGAACTACTTAAAAAAACTGGAATTTTAAATAAAATGCTAAGAATTACAATGGGTTCTCGTATTACAATTGCAATATTTCGAAGTACAAATTAAATTATTTTATTAAAAATTAAATGAAAAAAAATAAAAAAAATCAAATAACATTTCCAAAAGGTGCAGTTCGCCCTTATGTGTATTTTTTTATTTTCATAAAAGTATAAAAAATAACGGTTCAACAATTTTGAAATGTCTTCATTTCAAACATCTCCAAAAACCAACAACCGGCAAATAATTCAATTTTTTTGTTTCAACCAAAAAAACTAAAAATATAATACCTTATTGTTGTTATTGTTGTTGCATCGTTCGAAAGTTGGCAAAATTCAATCAAGCGGACAGTTGCTTAGAGTTATCTGCATAAATTTATATTTAAATATGTTTATGATGCGGCATTTCTTTTGTTTTTGTATTAATGTGTTTCTTTGTTTTTGTTTTTCTTGGTTTTGGTTTTGTTCACCGGTTTATCGGACTTTGACAATCAGCACCACCAGATGGTTGTTTGATTTAGTAATCTGAAGTGTTATGGAAATTTTATTTTTATTTTATTGTTTACATAATTTGATGCTGTCACTGTGTGTGTGTGCGTGTGTGAAAATAAAAATTAAAAAATTATAAAATTTTTGGAGGATTTAAGAATGAAAACTAGGATTGTGACATTTTTGTGGGAGATGTGTTAATGAAATATATTTTTGAGAAAGAAGGTTTTTCGGATGTATAAAATACCTATACGGCTTTAGGACGTCTAGAAAAGACCAAAAGACCTCAGAAGTCTTCTATGCGATTAGAAGATCTTTAAAGTCTTCTTTACGGCGAAAGACCTTTGAAAAAACGCTGCAGGACCAGAAGACCGTTGAGTTCTTTAATGAAGCCAGAAGACCTTACAGTTAGAAGGTATTTCAGGTCTCCTTGAATATTAGAAAGCCCTTAGAACCTATCACAGGTTCAGACGGTACTTTAACTATTCCACATGATCAAAAGGTCTTCTACAATGTGAGAAGATCTTTTAGGTCTTCTATAGGGCCAGAATGCTTTTAGGGTATCAGAAGGGCTTTAAGGTCCCCATAAAGGGTCAAAATACCATTCAGGTCTTTTACTGAGTCCG